AACAGTAGTAAAATGACTGTTACAATGTAGCAACAAAAGCAATATTATGTTTGGGGGTCACCACAACATGAGGGACTGTATTAAGGGGTCACGGCATTAGGAAGGTTGAGAACCACTGCTCTATCTGTTGTCTGTCTTGTCATTGTATAATCGGCATTGAATGTTTGCCATATATGTGTTCTGTGATCTGCCTTCGGGGTGAGAAGAGCAAAATATAAGTACTGTAAACAAACAAACAAATAACATTTAACCCCACATAAATTGGAGCAGAAACGAACAGATAAAAAGACTTTGAATCCTTCAGGTATAACGATATAAAATTATTGTTTTCCCACTTGATAACACTGCACCACACTCATGAACATAAAGTCCCTATTATAGCAAAATAAAGCAGTGACATATGTTTTAGCACTGAAAGCTACAGAACCAGAACTCTTGTGACAGGACAGAGTAAGCACAACTATGTTATCCAACTGTCATCTGGGAGATTGAGAATGTTACCTGTACAGGTATAAACCAGACCTGGGCAAACTTGGGCCCTCCAGGTGTTTTGGACTTCAACTCCCATCATTCCTAACAACCTCAAGCCCCTTCTTTTCCCCCTCAGCTGCTTAAGGAAAGGGCCCAAGGCTGTTAGGAATGGTGGGAGTTGAAGTCCAAAACACCTGGAGGGCCCAAGTTTGCCCATGCATGGTATAGACAGAACTCAAGGCACTTGCAATCCTGTTTTTCTGAGAAAGACACCTTTTTGCAATTAGTTGAAGAGATAAGAAATATTTGAGGATCCAGTTTGCTTGCTGTTTTTGTGTCCCTTCAAAGAACTGGTGATGTTTGGTGACCCTAAGGCTAACCTATCACAGGGTTTTCTTAAAGAAATCTGTCTGTTGTTTTTTTCTCAGAAGTTAAGAGTGTATTGGGTCACTCATTGGGTTTCCATGGCTCAAACCTTCGTCTGCCCCTGTCCTAGTCCAACACTCATAACCGCACTCATTCTACAATGGTGGAATTCAGGCTCCATTTATTAATCTCAGATCTTGGAAATGTGACCATAGTCTTTTATCTCATAATGTTCTTCATCAAGGGAACACGAATAGAGTTTTGAAGTGAGGAAGAGCCTTGGGGCCAAGTGAAAAATCAAGCCACTGTTCTCAACTACAGGGCTCCTATTGTCTGGACATCCTCTTTTCTTCTCCACTTTGCTGTAGCATGTGGTGTTCTGGCTCCAAAACACAAAAAATGGGACAAGGATAAAGGAGATGCAACATCACAAGGGGTGGGCCTCCTGCTCAGAGACATATTTGATTTTCACTGGAAAAAAAAAAGCTTAAAGGCCTAATTTTCAAAGCTTGGAAACACTGTATTTCATTGAGTGTAAGGCGCCATCAAATGTAAGGTACATTGTGTTTTTGAAACTTCAGCTTTTGGAAAAAAATAATTTTCTTCTAATATTTTTTAGAATTTCCTCTGTTGCATGCACAATACCTTTGTTTGTTTGTTTGTTTCTTTGAATGAAGTTTTGTAATGCAATCTCTCCCCTGGTGTGAGGAGGGAATGTGAAGAAACTCACAAGTCTTCTGTCTGCATGAGTCTGTAAAGCAGTGTTTCTCAACCTGGGGGTAAGGGACACTTTGGGGGCCATGAGGGGGTGTCAAAGGGGTTTCTGAAAATCATCAGAAAATACAGTATTTTCTGTTGGTCATGGGGGTTCTGTGTGGGAAGTTTGGCCCCATTCTATAACTGGTGGGATTCAGAATACTCTTTAATTAAATGTGAAAGTCTATCTCCCCTGAACTCCACCAGCATTCACATATGGGCATATTGAGGATTTGTGCCAAATTTGGTCCAGATCCATCATTCTTTGAGTCCACAGTGCTCTCTGGATGTCGGTGAACTACAACTCCCAAACTCAATGTCAATGCCCACCAAATCCTTTCAGTATTTTCTGTTAGTCATGGGATTTCTGTGTGCCAAGTTTGGTTTAATTCTATCCTTGGTGGAGTTCAGATTGTCAGTTAACTATAAATCCCAGCAGCTACAACTCCTAAATGACAAAATCAGTCTACCCCCCCCCCCCAACCCCACCAGTGTTCAAATTCTGGCCCAGTTTACCTGTCCGAACAGATTCTCCCCTATGAATCATCAAGGCTGTTAAGATCTTCTGGAGGGGCCCTGCTCTCAGTCCCACCACATTCGCAATTGCGTCTGGTGGGGACGAGAGACAGGGCCTTCTCAGTGGTGGCCCCTCGGCTGTGAAACTCTCTCCTGATGGAGATCAGATCTGCCCCTTCCCTCCTGACGTTCAGAAAGCTAGTGAAATCCTGGCTCTGGGGCATAGCATTCCCAGAATAATTGGTTGAGTTCAGCTATAACCTAATAACTACTGACCACACTGGCAGATTGAGATGAACTTGATTCTATCCTGACGTTTTGGCTTATATGTATTTATTCTGTTTGTATTTTAACTTATTACGATTTTATGATGTTTTAGTTGTATTGAACTTCTGTTGTTAGCTGGTCTGAGTCCCTCTAAGGAGGTAGAGAAGATCTGGGTGTAAAAGTTTTAAATAAATAAATAAATAAATAAATAAATTGGGTGTATCGGGTTTTTTTGCCAAATTTGGTCCAGTGAATGAAAATACATCTTGCATATCAGATACTGACATTACAATTCATAAGAGTAGCAAAATTACAGTTATGAAGTAGCAATGTAAATAATTTTATGGTTGGGGGTCACCACAACATGAGGAACTGTATTAAGGGGTCGTGGCATTAGGAAAGTTGAGAAACACTGTGATAAAGGATTAAGTCTATGGGTCTGCTGGGGAGGCTGCAAAAGCAGGAAGTGACACTTAACAAAAATATCAATAAACTGCCACCTGAGTGAGGCTGAGGACAAAATGGCAGTGGCGTGGCAGATCTGTTTGGGGCTGGGCCTTTCCTCCTCCTTTCCTCTCAGAGGTAAGACAGTTTTTCAAAAACTAAACAAATTGGCAAATCTAAGTCACCACTGAATCTAACATGTACCCCATTTTAAGTCCCTTAAACAGAAAAGGGTATCCCTTAGAACAGGGGTCCTCAAACTAAGGCCCGGGGGCCGAATGCGGCCCTCCAAGGTCATTTACCCGGCCCTTGCTCAGGGTCAACCTAAGTCTGAAACGACTTAAAAGCACATAATAATAACAACAACAATCCTATCTCATCAGCCAAAAGCAGGCCCACATTTCCCACTGAAATACTAATAAGTTTATATTTGTTAACTTTGTTCCTCATTTTAATTATTGCATTGTTTTAAAGTGTTTGTTTCACTACAAATAAGATATATGCAGTGTGCATAGGAATTAATTCCTGCTTTTTACAAATTATAATCCGGCCCTCCAACAGTTTGAGGGACTGTGGCCTGGCCCTCTGTTTAAAAAGTTTGTGGACCCCTGCCTTAGAATATGGTATTACTTTTATTGGTGACCTACTTAAAGAGTTAGCATTCCAAGCTCTGCTAATTTCCTATACCCTTGACCTTTGTGTGGTAAGGAGCCCCCGGTGGTGCAGTGGGTTAAACCCTTGTGCCGGCAGGACTGATGACCAATAGGTCAGAAGTTCAAATCCGGGGACGGTGCAGATGAGCTCCCTCTGTCAGCTCCAGCTCCCCATGCAGCGACATGAGAGAAGCCTCCCACAAGGATGATAAAGCATCAAAACATCTGGGTGTTCCTTGGGCAACATCCTTGCAGATGGTCAATTCTCTCACACCAGAAGCAACTTGCAGTTTCTCAAGTCGCTCCTGACACAGAAAAAAATGCATGTGTGGTGAGTTTAGAGGGACTGAAGGGAAATGGGACAAAGTGGACAAAACTGTAGAAAAATATCCAGCAGATCAGACTGCTGACGAGAATAATTTATTTATTTATTTATTTTACTTACTTTATTTGTATACCGCTCTTCTCAGCCCTTAGGCAACTCAGAGCGGTTAACAACACAGTTTCAATATACATGGTACAAAATCATTGGACATTTAAAGCAATAGTAAACAATTAATTAAACAGCAAACATCAACATCAATATCAATATAACAAATCCATCACGTCTCATCGATAGAATCAGAATCCAGCCTCATTATCCTTATTCCGTGTTCCAATAATCGATTGCACTGCCTAGTCAAATGCCTGTTTGAAAAGCCAGGTCTTCAATTTCCTTCGAAATACCAACAGGGAGGGGGCCAATCTGATCTCTGTAGGGAGGGTGTTCCACAGCCGAGGGGCCACCACTGAGAAGGCCCTGTCTCTCGTCCCCACCAGGCGTGCTTGTGAAGCCGGCGGGATCGAGAGAAGAGCCTCCCCAGACGATCTTAATGTCCTAACTGGTTCATAGGAGGAGATGCGTTCGGACAGGTAGGTCGGGCCAAAACCGTTTAGGGCTTTAAAGGCTAAAGCCAGCACTTTGAATTGTGCCCGGTAGCAAATTGGCAGCCAGTGGAGCTGGCACAACAGAGGAGTTGTATGCTCCCTGAGTGCTGCTCCTGTTAGCATCCTGGCTGCTGATCATTGGACCATTTGGAGCTTCCGAGCAGTCTTCAGAGGCAACCCCACGTAGAGAGCGTTGCAGTAGTCTATACAGGATGTGACTAGAGCGTGGACTACCGTGGCAAAGTCAGACTTCCCAAGGTATGGGCGCAGCTGGCGCACAAGTTTTAATTGTGTGAATGCTCCCCTGATGGGTAAAAAGGGGAAAAGGAGCAGGAAGAAAGGGAAAGGGTGGCCATAATCCAGTTCTGATGACTATCAGTTTACACTCTTCACAAAGAAAAAGTTTGTGGTCCTCTATAGAAAAAAAGCTCCTCATTTTGATTTAAATTATAAGTTATTAATTATCAAACCTACCTCCCAAGAATGCATCAAACTCAGGAAGTGAAGTTATCTGAATAAGGATGCTAGATATCCATCAGATTATAAACAGCATAGGTAAACATTTTGCCATAAGTATAAAACATGGCAAGAAGCACTCACCAATCCATTTCTCCAGATCTGCAGCTTCACTGGGGGTGGCCCTAGGGAGGATACCAGGGTCTCTGAAGCTGGTGTGCAGCAGAGAGCTGATGACAAAAAAGAACAGGATGCCAGCAATGATAGGAATGGCCAAGGTCAGATTATGAGCCAGGAATGGACAGCTGAAATGAAAACAGTACAGTTTTAAAGTCAAGCAACAACTCACTGCACCAGCTTTTTACTCAGCAGCTGGTTTCTCTTACGGCCCATGATGGCCTCTACAGTCCACAGAATGAACGCAATGTGCCTTGGTTGGAAGAAATTCACTGTATCAATCTCTGTAGGCCTTTTTGTCCAAGGTGATAAATGCATTATGAATAGCAATAGTTTGCAACCTAACACGGATTCATACCATATTCCTCAAATACACCCTTCCTGTATCTTTAGGGATCTAACAAATTCTGTGGTAAGCTAATGCCAGCACTTTGAATTGTGCTCAGTAGCAGACTGGCAGCCAGTGGAGCTGGCACAACAGGGGGGTTGTGTGCTCCATGTACACCGCTCCAGTGAGCAATCTGGCTGATGCCTGTTGGTCCATCTGAAGCTTCCAGTCTTCAGAGGCAACCCCACATAGAGCGTGTTGCAGTAGTCTATCCACGATGTAACCAGAGCATGGACTACCATGGCCAAGTCTCACTTCCCAAGATACAAGTGCAACTGGGCGCACAAGTTTTAATTGTGCGAAAGGTTCCCTGGCCGCCACCAAAACCTGGGGTTCCAGGCTCAGCGACTATGTAACTTGAGTGCAGCTGGCAATGCTAAGATTAATCTGACCACACTAGATAAGTAATCATTTTGAGATGGAAAACACAGTACTTTGATTAGAAAAAAAATACTTTAGCTTCCTATAGCAGTATCTGTTCTTGTTGTTGAAGCATAGCTGCTTCCTCTATGTTCTTCTACTAAAAAAAAATCATGTCTTCAGCAACTGACCTCAATGTCTTTTTACTGACCACCCATAGTTGCAGCCTGGTACACCAAAACAGTTAGGTAAAACACTGAAAAAGTTGTGCTGATGTAAGTCAGATTAAAACAGAACCTTTTAAAAAAACAATGGAAGACCATCTAAATCAGACATGGGTAAACTTGGTCCCTCCGGGTATTTTGGACTTCAAGCAGCTGAGGGGGGAAAGGAAAGAGCCTGAGGCCAGGAATTGTGGGAGTTGAAGACCAAAACACCAAGTTTGCCAGTGCCTGATCTAAATCCTGAGTTGTTGGCTCAGTATCAGAGAGAGCCAAGGTACATTTCCCAATGACATTAGAGGGTGAGGAAAGTTAACAGTATGGAACCAAAACATTGAAGGTCTTGAGTTGTCAAGGGTAACCATCATATTCTTTTCAAAAGGCGAAGGGATTTGAGCTGAGAAGTGGGAGTAAGTTGTGTGTCATGAGGGAATTCAATACTATTTCTGTTCTGTTCTTTTCAAGAAAGAACAGATTTGCAGGGGATGGGATCATTTGGCAGAAAGAGCTGAAAGGTTGTAGGAGGTGACCGAATGAGCACCAAAGCAGTCTGTGGCAGACAGTAGCAGTTGTTGCCAAGTGGTCATGAAACAACTGCCTTGCATGTTCCAGTGCTGTTAAGGGGCATCACTGTTTGCAGAAATCAGGAGGTGAAGTTTTCAACAGCATGGAGATAAACATCTCCACCTCCTAACCATGAACCTCTCAACAAAAGATTGCTCCAGACACTGCCAGGCAATCAAATGCCAATCAAGGGGGTCAGTCGAAACATTCATACCTAGCTCCAGCAGACAAGAGTCCTTTGTCTCACTCTGGTCATTCCACAGATATATATACCCTTTTTCCTAGTTTCCTCACTACCTCTGAGGATGCTTGCCATAGATGCAGGCGAAACGTCAGGAGAAATGCCTCTAGAACATGGCCATATAGCCCGAAAGAACCTACAACAACCCAGTGATTCCGGCCATGAAAGCTTTCGACAATACATGAACCATCACATTTCATAATACAGTTTGATTTTAAAAGCTGGCAACTTTAAAAATGAAAGGCAGGAGTCAAAGCAGACCTTATTCCCTTCATTATATGATGACAATATCATAAACTATGTTTACTTTTAGTAAAGGTAAAGGTTTCCCCTGATATTAAGTCTAGTTGTGTCTGACTCTGGGGTTGGTGCTCATCTCCATTTCTAAGCCGAAGAGCTGCTGTTGTTCGTAGACACCTCCAAGGTCATGTGGCCAGCATGACTGCATGGAGTGCCGTTAACTTCCCGCAGAAGCAGTACCTATTGATCTACTCCTCTATGCTCTTCTACTCAAAAAATGTGAACTGCCCTGAGTCCCCTTTGGGGTTGAGAAGGGCAGTATACAAATACCGCAAATAAATAATAATGAACAATACTGACATTTGCATGTTTTTGAACTGCTAGGTTGTCAGAAGCTGGGATCTAACAGCAGGAGCTCACCCCGCTCCCTGGATTCAAACCAACCATTCGGTCAGCAGGTTCAGTGGCTCAGCGGTTTAACCCACTGTGCCATGAGGGGGCCTTATGTTTACTTTTAGTTAGTCTCTATTTATTTTAATAGAATTTGGTCTCAAATTGTTACACCTAAATCTGTCCATAAGGAGGAGAGCCATGGAATTCAAACACTAGCAGAA